TCTCTTGGGGGTTCTCTGGAGTTTTCTTGACTCGGGAGTAGTGGATCCAAGCAGGTAGTTCCTTAATCCAGATCGCTGTGAAGGTGGTTAGTAGCATCTGGGGTGATTCTTCCCACTTTTCCTGCAGAGGTTTTCCTAAAAGATTCTGAACATATACTAATCACCGGGATGAAAAGGATGCAATTTACAATCAGGTTGTTTGTCTATTATCACTATGACATTTTTAATAAAATGTTTTCCCACTGTTATTACATCATTTAGCAGGATTTTGGTTACTTCTTTCTCTTTATTTGTCCTGCATGGGAATGCTTCAGGCCACCCAGAAAATGTGTCTGTCAAAACAGGGAGGTGTCTATACCCCCTTTTCCTGAAAGTTTAGAGAAATTAATTTGCCACACTTCTGTGGGGAATTTTTCCCTGTTAATTGCCTCTTTCTATATTCTAGTCCCTATGTTAGGGTTATTCTTTTGGAAGCACTAATTGTCCTGTCTCTAACTGGCCCCACCCGTTATTTAGTATCTTACCTTTGTTTCTCTGTATTTACTTGTGATCTGAGTCTTGGTACTCTGGCTTAAAATTAATATCTAATTCTTCTGTAACTAAGGTTGATATAATTACCTCATTAGTTCTTGCAGCAGCTAATTTAGCTTCTGCGTCAGCTCTCTGGTTACCTGTTTCTGGAACGGTGTTACCTTTCAGGTGTCCTTTGCAATGTATTATGGCCACTTGATTTTGGGAGTTGGACGGCTTCCAACAACTGTAGGATTTCCTCAGCATGTTTTGCAGGTTTTCCTTAGGTTGCCAGTAGTCCTTTTTCCTTCCGCAGAAAGCACCATAAGCATATACAACGGAGAAAACATATTTAGAATCTGTCCAAATGTTTATTCATTGTCCTTCTGCCAGTTCAAGAGTTCGGGTCAGAGCTATTAGCTCTGCTTTTTACGTTGAGGTTCCTGTAGGCAAAGGGTTTGATTCGATTACCTGTTCTGTTGTGGTTATTGCATAACCTGCCAGTGTCTCTTCATGCTTCGTAAAGCTGTTGCCATCAGTGAACCAGTCTTCCGCGTCTTTAAGCGGTCCTTCTGTAAGGTCCGGGCGGCTGGAATACACAGCTTCGATGGTTTCCAGGCAGTCATGCTCGACAGGCTGTGCTGACATTCTTCCTTCTAGAAATGAGGTGTGTCAGGTCTGGGCATCTGGCAGATGGCTTCTTTCCCTTCCGTTCCTAGGGATCGTTGTCCTCCAGAAATCTCGTATCCCAGGTATACCACTTTTTCTTGCACCAGTTGGGCTTTCTGTTGGGAAAACTCGATATCCATTTAGTCCCAGGAAATTCAACAATGCTATAGTCCATTGTACACAATTTTCTTCAGTTTCAGTTGCTATGAGTAAATCATCTACATATTGTAGAAAAACGCCCTCTCCCTGTGGCCGTTCACTTTGTTCCAATTCCTTAGATAATTGATTTCCAAATATTGTGGGACTGGTTTAAAAACCTTTGAGGTAAGACCGTGTGATTTACATTCTATTATGGGTTCAATTCCCTTAACGGGTATTGTTTTCTATGTACCGGTTTTGCTCCTGATTTTAACTCTATAACTACTGGGGCAGCTCGCTTTAATTTCCAGGGATATCTG